ATAGCAAGGATTTTTTATGAGCATAGCATTTATTTATAGGACACAGCTCATATCAACAATGTGTTCCATGTTGCTTACACAAGGAAACGCCATGAAAGTGAAGTGGTGGAACCTACTTCATCTGACGCCATGAAAGTGAAGTGGTGGAACCTACTTCATCTGCAGTCTGTTTTGGAAAAATTCTTCAAGCTGTTTTGGACCAGTGTATCAGGACTGATAATAAGGAATTGTGGCTGCATTGCAAGGTCTCACTCCTACAGATGCCTTATGGGAAAATGTCGTTAATATGTTGAAAGAAATGTCCATCATTGGTGCTTGAAGACAAGCACTTTCTGAAAGGAGGCAATAATGCTAAAGCTGCCAAGGAAAACCGGTTTAGTTATCTGGTTTATTGGAGAGGAAAGCATGGCAAGAATAACCGAGGAGCACGTAAATTTTCAGAAAAAAGGAAAAGAATCACGTCCAGCTACTGATTCCTATTCTCCCTAGGATCCTAATTAGTTGCATATATAAAGGAGTTTCCATTATGGGCATTCATCTTTTATTTATTTCCTTTTTCATTTTTTAGGTTTTAATTAGGAAATTTTTACTATATTTTTTTTTTGTCAAATAAGTTTAATTAGCAAATTTACTATCTTAACCTTGAAGCCTAATTAGAGTGCTAAAATTTTAGAAATCATGCTCCCTATTTATACTGTGTTATCCTTCAATAAAATCATCTAACAGTTTATTCAAAAATAAAAATCAGAGTATCTTCTCGCGATCTGAGGTTCTCTCCAATAAGCCTCAAATATAGGCCTACAAGGCTGAGAAAAGGCAAGCAAGTCTCATGCTTGCTGCAAGACTCCTATCTAACTAATTCCAGATATAAGGCCTTAACAGTATTGATAAACCTCTAATTATTGATAACATTATTGATGTTCAAAGAAAAAAACATTATTGATAAACCTCTAGCTCTAATAGCACGTAAAAGTTTTAGTTCAGTAATTAACTGCCTCAAGAGAGAACTTAACCGACAAAAACCTAAATAAAGAGGCAAAAGCTAAAGCTAATAGGAAGTATTAACCTATATTAGAAAGCAATTAAATCTCCCACAGCCAGGTAATTAGTATTAATGGTTCTATGTGGTTGATAGATGTTATTACCTGTATTGATACACGGGCAGAAAACTTGACAAGTTCTTCTTCAGTGAGCTTCTCAGATGCACTTTTTCCTCTAATGCCCTTGGTTACAAGCTTAGTAGAATCTCCACCTTTGTATCGAGCTGACAATGCTTCATCAAAATGCATCTGCACATGGAATCAAAATAGACAACTATTTGCAAGAAGATCCTCATTACATGTTGGCACCTTGTTGTGCTTGTCAGCACATATTCCAAGTACGATTGAAGATATATAACCAACTTATGGTTAGGATTATCTTTTAAAAAAAAAAAAATTCTTAGGGGAGCTATGACGCGTATCCTTCCACAATTTTCTCGCTCAAACATTCATACGCATTTTTAACATAAATTATACATGCTGTTGTACACCATAAAAGAAGGGGACAAGGATCCCTTCAACACAAAAAATATGAAGTCTATAGTTAATATCACCAGATACAAAGGTAAACTGACCATGTCAGGATCAAGATATATCTTCCTCTATAGTTAAGTTTCCTATTTATTGTTTTGCTCCATTGGCTTATAGGTCCCCATGAATTACCAAATAAGCTTTCTTTCCAACATAATGATGTGTGCAATATTTTCTTCCACATGTTATAAATGAAAAGTTTGCATCACCTTCTCACAGCACATGAGGCCCGCATGCCTCAGGTACTCATCAATAGTGAGCAAATTAAGTTATTCTAAGTTTGCATGAAGAGTTCATTTAATTTGTTTGGAGTGCTAGTAGACATGTCTCACGGTTGAAAAGAAGTTTTCTTAAGAGGAGCCTTATCTTCTGCCTACGATTTGTTTCTCTCTTCATAAAAAAGTTTTCTTTCCTTGCGGAAAAGACATTCTTATCCTGAAATTCATTGTATATGATCCTCCTCCTACTTGGTGGTCTTCAAACAGTTTAATTTTCCTAAATATGGTAGCTTAAAAATAAACAAAGTAAATAATTACCTTGGCATTTTCCAAATGTCTGCCAGCTTCCTCTTGTGAAAAAGAATTTACAAATAGCTGAATACAGCAAAGTCCAGCAGCAACATGGTCCTTCTTGATGACCTGAACCAGTAAGAACTTCATATAAATAAATAACAAACTTCATTGCAAAATAGGAATATTTCACTTTTCATTTTTATTTGGGGCTTGGCTGAAGGGTACTCTTTATGACAGAGCTTGGACAACTCTGTGATCCAATACCATATTCTTTGGACAATATCAAGTACAGTAAAAAAGAAAAAAAAAATTTATACACATTACTGGCTAGAAACCCTTCTTGAACTGGGCTGGTGAGAAGTAGGCTAATTTAATTAAAAGATGAATAGAAATCATTAAATTGCCTTGCCATCAGAAAGAGAAGGGGACAAAGAAGGAAAGAAGAAAAAATATTTCTCCATCAGCATTGTTTTCTTTCCTTTTCTTTTTGGGCTGGGGGTATAACCTGTTTTTTTCTTCAAATTTCATGCCATTTTGACTTCATCTTCTTAACATATGTTGCCTTTCAACTAAATATTTTTTCCTTCTCTAAAAATGCTGTTTCAGGTTAAAAAAGAAATTTATTTAAATTTTAATCGAAAAATCCCATGACTGGATTAGGGAAAATCACTAGAAAAGTAATTCTTGTACCTGAAACTTGTATAGATAATTGAAGTGCCTGTGTGTTTCACAGTACATGCAAATACGGACAAGGGCTATTGCTGTATTCTGATTTACTGCTGGATCCTGCTGCTTTGCAGATAAAATTCTTGCTGAGATTACTTCCTGTAGAATAGACATTGCACCATAACCAATACACAAGTCGCATAAATCATCTATTGTCCCATAGTCAGTTGCCAAAGGATCAGGTCTTTGAGGGGATGAAGATGAGGTAACTGCCCCCATTGTTGAAGGTTGAGGAGGTGGGGGGATGCCATTAGGAGGAAAGAACAACATGCACGCATCATTATAGTGACCATGCTTAAACATAAAACCAAGCAAATGCTGTCGGGCATACTGCACAGTTGAAGACAAAAAGGAGCACCCTGTGAATAAAAGGAAACCAGGAACAAAAAAGAATTTGCACATCCAATATAGGATTCTGCTTGGTAATATATATTTAATCATTGCATAAAAGATTAGGGACACGAAGCAAGTCAACTTCAAGAGCTTTTGTAAAGATAACAAGAATACAGGGAACAAAACTTCAGCTCACTTCTTGCAAATAGTTTACACATTCAGAGTAGCGAATGCTGTCCAAGTTGCTGCGAGGTCCATCTTGAAAGTCTGAACCATATGTAGAATTATTATTTGCAGATTCCAGAGAGTACCCGGATCTCTCTGATCGTGGAAATGTGGATGGCATATAGAGAACATTTAGATATGAATCAGCAGATAAAGAATCATCCAAGATTGTTGGAGCACTCCTGGCTAAATGTTCATACCTGCAGAAGGAGGAGAAACATTTGGTCAATAAGTTATGATATATAGCAAACTCTTACTGCATCCAGAAAGTAAAAACCATTTCAACATGCTTTAAAAGTTTGTGGATCTTAACCTGTCATTTATCTTGTCTTACTCATTTCTCGTATAAAATTTAAAGTACTAATGCAGCTTTCAGAAAAAAGAAGCAAAGATGAGAACCTAATCTGAATCAAGACAAGGTTCAGAAAACCAATGGCCTGTTGGCCCATTACTACAGGCCCACCTTGGTGAAATCAGGAGACAAAGGTTTGAGCCAGACTTGCCTCATCACTTTCATGCCCTGGGAAATGTGCTCCTTGTCATGGGTACTTAAGCAGGAAATAATAATATTAACTTTGAGGCAGGCATTAGAAACCAACTTCAGAAGTACCCAGACTGGAGCTCCATTTTTCTCCACACTTTTTATTTACATCTCATTTCCCTCATCCTATAGGTTAGTGCGTGGGTGATATGGAAAGAAAAAACAACAGAGTTTTTGAGACCTTGAGTGTTTTGTATAACGGTCATCCCTTCCTGTCATGATATGATCCAAGAGCCTCCAATAACATTTTTTGCTCTTCAGGATAGTTTCGATAATTTTTCTTCTTCAGGGCCAGCAACCCACTGGTGCCTTTTTAATACATATTTTTTTTTCCGCAAGAAAAAAAGAAAAAAATTGTCACTTGAAGGACTAAACAATACACTACAAAACCTGTGAAGCCCAACCCAACATCAAATCCATGTAAAATGTTTGGACATAATGAGAACACTAAATTTAACCATATCTTACATGGAACGAACAGATGAGACATCTACGGGTGGACCTCCTTCGATTGTGTTTATGATCTCTTGAATAATAGTAGTATTATCACCTTTATATAACGGAAGAGCTTGCCTGAAACCATAAAAAAAAGCCATTGAATGTTTAGACTCCACTGCACCGGACTTTGAATAACAGAAGGCAACAGAGAGATTCTAGAAAAGTTGGCTTCTGGCCTCTGACAGATATAATGAGAAAAGCTCCAGAGGCCTATGTATTTTCAACATACTTGAACTTGACACGAGCTTGAGCATAGTGCTCCATCCGAATTAAAGCATGACCCCATGCATTCCAAACAGGAAAAACATCAATCTGAGGGAAAACAAGCATGAATAAGCTCAGATTCCAATGGAGAGGAACAGCATTAGCTATTAATATATCTGGCTATGGTATTTACCTTACACTTCCTGCAAGTATATACTGCCATACTATATCGTTCATCAACAATCAACCTGTCACGGAGACGGGCAGACGCCTCTTTATCAGCAATGTCATCGAGAGAAGCTGCAATTCCTGATCCCAAGAGGCTCTGAAGCAGCTCAGCACGTCTAAGCCAAACATCTGCCTGTGATAACACTTCTGATAACTCATCTGTGGACTGACTACCCACACTAGAACTACCAGCATCAGAGGATGCATCATCAGCATCCCTGCTTCTTTCGGAGTTACTACCCAAATCACTACCACCAACCAGCTTTCTCAGCAATGATTTAGCATATAACAATCCCTGCCAAAAAATCATCCGAGATAAGTTGTTGCTATCCACATTAGACACTAGCTTGCACAAGAATAAATAAATAAGCATGTCAGAATCTATCCAAGTAAAATCAAACGCACATGACATAGTGCCTTTATATATGATCCGACTTTAATCAGGTATAAATCTTGACGACTGGAGATAGTTTGCTCCAATATATGTAATAAAGCATATAAGCAAAGTAAATACCTGTACAAATGTCTCTGTAGCATGATATGCTCGACCAATTGTCTCCATAGATGCACTCTCAGGTAATTGCTGTGAGCTCAACACATTCTTGATGTGACTAATACTCAAGTCAAGAGCGCCTTTGGCAGACGTTAACTCATCACTGCACAACGAAAGCAGAGCCTAGAAAAAGAAAACGAATCTTTCAGCAGATATCAAGCAATATAAATAAATAGAAGAACAATAATGCAGGAAGAAAAATAAACCTGGAAGTTCCAATTGCCGTTGCTAGAGAAAAACTACAGTTTTGCTTTACATACCAGATGCATTTACAAAATATATGAAAAAGAAAATATATCACTTTGTTAACACTACAAATTTTCGTTATGGAAGCATCTGAATGCTTTTCCAGAAAAAGAAGGGTGTTAGAAGTATCAAGTTCCTTCTAAGAAACTTTTAACAAAAAAAAAAGTTCCTTCTGAGTTGAGAAAGCAATGGACTCTCCAACTCTTTAATCAACTTCCTTCTTGAAAAAAGAAGCCATGGACTTCCCACATTCTTATGTCTCAAATATAACCAACTGTTATTGTGTATAAAGGCTAATGAAGATACCAGAGCCATATATATGTTTAAACAGGAATAAAAGGTACAACATTTTACAAAAATGTTACAAATGGCATAACACAATACACAAGCCCAAATGGAGAAATATGTTGAATCCATATAAGCATGTGCCAGTAACCAGTTTAACATGTACACACACTTATGAATTAACCCTGTAACACCATACACTAAGCCATCTAACGGTAACAGAAATGCTCAGATTCACCGGTTGCTGATGAGGAAGGAGTATGGTTTATAACAAGTTCCAGATTAATCAGATTAATGGCCATTCCAAGCCTACATTTGACATCATAAGCACCCAAGTAATATTATGTCGCACAATTCAACTTTCACCATGTTAAGCAAAGCATATTGATCATTTCCATTGACATACCTTAAAGAGAATAATGTCAGGAGCACTTTCATATTTATGAGATGCGCGGACAGCTTCATCCTTTCCAACATCACCAGTTAGCATCCATTCCTCAGCAATAGAAACAGAAGGAAGTCGCTCTTGCCCATCAGCAGAGTATGATGAAACATGATCCTCTTGAATTCCAGTCATTGCCTCCCAAGCTACTCTTTCAGATTCTGTCAATCCAGAACTTTTTCTTTTCCGGTAAACATCTTTTGGGGCAGTCCTCTCCCCAGTATTACGCGGAGCCCAAGAAAACGCTCTACGAGCCTCTTTTTGCAAGTTACTTAAACTGCTAGAGAAAGATGATCTTGCAGGGGCTCCCTGTCTTGTTTTCTGCTTAACTCTTGTTCCTGAAACAGATATTCGAGGTTCTCTGGATGGCGAGCTAATACTGACAGCAATAGCTTTAGCAGCATATGCTATAATTACATTGTTGTCCCTCAATGACGGAAATTCTTTAAGGATCTGAAAGAAATATCACGATATAAAAAAATGGGAGAAGAAAAGTGAACAAAATGGATAGAATAAGAGTTGTATGGATGCCGCAGTTTCCATTCCATGCCATAAAGCTTTGATCAGTGAGATACAAGATCAGTACAAGGGACAACTCTGAAGCATCAATTGAAGTAAAAGACCTTGGATAAAAAGATTACCAGTGAAGCAGATTGCAGTTGCTTCCTCATTAACAGGACCTCCAATATCAAATGAGGGTGCTCATGCAGGGCAGAACACCTTTGCTGCCATGGCAATGGTAAGGCAGCTAGGACACGAAGACCTAAGGCCCAAGAGTTAAGTCGAGAAACCTCCATATCTGAGAGATTTCCATCCCTCCTCTTTAGGAAGAAGTGTACCTTTCAAGAAGACAGAGAATATTATGCAAGAAAGTATTCAAACTAGAACCAAGTTTTATGAAATCTAATTACATCTTTAGCAAAGGCTGAGAACAATTAATGAATTACAAGAAGTTGCTTCGACCGTAGGTTTGATAATAGCTGCATTGCACCCATAGCAACTAGTAAAGCATCATCTGAATCACATAACGAGGACAAGAAGCGGGAAGCTTCTGCAGGACCCCCACCGTTAAGAGGGTCTGCAGTAAGAAGCTTGACAAGCTGCCGGCCTTTCAGTTCTCTCCTCAAATCTATTGATAATCCTGCACTTTCAGCCACTTCCAAAGCAGCAGAAACAGCTCCTTTCCCAGCCAATCTAAGAGCCAAGCCTTCAGGATCTTCCTTAGACTCAGCTTCAACCTGATATTTCGATAGAAGATAAATGAATGTCCAAGAAAACTAAAGCACAAAAAGTTCTGAAAAGAAATAAAATCCGATTTTATCAGTTGTTGACTACGATTTTGGTCTCGAATCAGAAGAGAATATGACCTCTTGCCAGCTGCTATGGTGATCGTCCGCACTTAATATATGGCTGTATCTCTGCAAAGCCTGCCTCCTTTGCAAAACCTAGTTACCAAAACAGCATGTGATGACCAAGCCAAGATATAACAACCTATGCAGCAATATAACATTGAATAAAGACTCATACAAATTCAAGTTAAGAACATTAATTATAACTTAAAAATAATTTCAAACGGAAAATAACAATGGAATCAAGTACCTCATTCCTAATTGAATCACTTTGAGCCAGGTGGCAGCTACACATAGTGAGTACATCTAAAGCAGCATCAAGTTCCCACCTATGCATATACCTGCTAAAAAATTGATGTATGAAGAAGTAGACCATAATATTTCACATTTGCATTACAAATGAAACCATAATCTATTATGATCAGAGTAAGGGTGCACTGTAAGAAAATGATGGAAACCATATGAACCTTTTTCTTTATTTTGAAGTGAGATCAACATGGAACACTGCTTAGTTATCAATTGTTCGCATCTCCAAAATGTTTAGAAAATATATAGGATCTTAAAGGACTGTCGTGTAATGCTAATCCCTAGTCAAAAGGATTAACATATAAAGCTCTAAAGCATTCCCCATAATCATAAATTTTCTGGAGTTCCTGTTGACCAACCAAACAAAAGCTAATAACTATTATTAGGAGACAAAAAAAAAAAATCAAATAATATTAACTACATCCCCGCAAGTGTCTTTGACAATTCCTCCCGCTAAAGACGCCGGAGGGGAAATCACTAACTTATGAGATATTGAGCTTGTATTTGTGAAATAGTTACAGTAGTCCTACTAAATGGCTGGACAAGAAGGCCAGGAGAACGAAAAGGAAAAAGATATTGTTCCTGAGTTTTTCTTATTTTAATATAGAATAAGAAACACAATAGATAAGGAAAGAGTAGATACATCCTCAACAAGGATGAGTTCACCAGAATGACAAAAAGTGAAAGGGTGGCAGAATTTAAAGATAAACAAAATTTCTTGTTTATTGAAAATGAGCATATATAAATAGGAACATAAAGCTATTACAAACAAAAAAAAAGAAATCATATTAGAGGAAATTAAATCTCTACCAATGAAATTTTCTAACCAGTATCCATTGTTTGTAGGAGGATTAATTTTCTAATATTGAGACAGAAGATTGACGGACTTTATAACATTTCCTCACAAATTGGTGAGTAAGTCCTTGAAATATCACACTATTGAGCCCTTTTGTTAGCACCTGTGCAAGTTAATTATTAGTTGAGACGTGAAAAGTACAAATCAATCCATTATCCAACTTTTCCTTTATGAAGTGTCTATCTATTTCAATGTGTTTCATTCTATAATGTTGCACATATTATGACCAATGTCAATGAAATACTTGTTTTCATAGAATAATTTCATTGGTTTTCCCATCCAATCTTCAAATCTTCCAAAATTATTTGGAGATATAATAATTCACACACTCCTTGTATTATCACCTTAAATTCTGACTCTGCACTTGATTTAGAAACCATATTCTGCTTCTTACTCGCCAGGTTACAAGATTACCTCCAAAGAAAATCCATTAGCCCATAGCAGACAACCTACCTAATGTATATAAATTGTATGCCTCAAGAACTAATCTAGTGTTCTTTTTTATTAGAATTCTTTTACTAGGAGTAGATTTTACATAATGTAGTATCTTATAGGTTGCACAAAAGCAAACCCCTCTTGGACTATGCATAAATTGGCTGACCATGCT